TTTTTTCCCTGAGAACTTCAAAGAATCTCAAAAAAATAAACAACAAAGTAAAACACAACAAAACCCAGAATCTCCTGGGAAACAAGCTAATAATTGACATAAATGGATCAAGTAATATGATCTTGATGAGGGTAAATACATTTTATCTAATTATTCTTGAGTTTATTTTTAAATTTCAGGATGTGAGAGGTTTTGAATTGTGACTTTGCATTTCCAGTCCATATATGAACAAAATCCCATTACTTCCAGGGTCATTAAAAAGCCTAATGTTTCACTATCTACCCATGTTCAAATTCTAACCAGGAATTCTCCTTTTACTACTCCTCCATCACTTTCTGTACTTATAATACGGAAGCTAAGAAACACTAATAAACAAAATATCCACTATGAATAAACACCAAGAATATTGGGTTGGCCAATCAAATAGCATCCTTGTAACTTTAACAGCAATTTTTAAATCAGTTTTTGCTCATACTGAACTGCTGGCATTGTTTAAACATAACCTCTCATATGCCTAAGACAAGACAGAATAAACCATGTGTAAAATATTGAGATGAGATACTCACAGCGTGCAGCTGTGTCCAATGCTGACCTTGCTAAGGAAAAGAAGTTACATTTGTTAGAAGGAATAAACCTATTGGCAAATATCTACTTTTTAAATATATTTAAAGCTTCTGATAGGTCTATAAAAATAAGTGCTTGAATATAATAATTTCTCAGTATATAATAAAGGAAACATGAATATCAGTTCAGAGAAAAAGTGAGAAAGTAACATCATGCTCCACAATTCATTATCAACATTTACGTAGAGAAATCCTAAAGGGCAGTATTTTATTACTGCTGTAACATTTTATTTTTACCTTTATATTTTGTTTTTATAGTTATTATAAATTTAAATATTAATCAGAAAGTTACTCTACAAACTTACCTTTAAATGACTACAAATACATATGTGGTGAATATTATGGTGCTTAAAAGTTGTTACTGTTGTATAGTGTTATGCATATATGCAAATAAAGCACAAGAGAATATATATAAAACTATCTTAATGGTTAGAGTAGAAAACTGGGGGGGGCAGGGAGAAGGTCATTACTAAAAGTTTTATAATTTATCAACTCAAGGAATCCAAAAGGTCAAATCTTAACTTAAATGCAGTAGTTCTCAACCTGACCATCTATCACATTTACAGTTAGTGCTTTTTAAAAGCACTAATATCTGATCCCAGCCCATGAGATTATAACTCAGATCATCAAAGTATTGTGGACCGCCATTTCCTGATTTGGCTAATAGTATGCAGTGTGATAAATGTTAGCCAGCTGTCTGAC